GTCTGTTTAAGAAAAAATATGATTCAAATTCACAGAAAGAAAAAAACAGTGATTATTCTTAGTAGCATAATATTTGGTTTATTATCCATGTTGGTATAATAATTTCTGCTTTGTTTTCATACAGTGAAGTGATGTTTCTGTTATTTATTTTAGTTACATTGGAATTTGTTATATTTATTTCTTTGTTTTTGTTTTGATAAGAAAAGCACATGCTTGTGTTATTTATAAAGATGTTTGGACTTCACATTCGAGTACAGTGGTGAAATGCTGGGTCACCCTGGTCATTGCTTAGCAATATTTAAAAAGTAGGTCTTACTGAGCAGTTAAGTTTTAACATCCAAGAAAAATTCATTTTCACTTCTGGAAATTGGAAAAGGTTGGGTCAAAATATGAGGAGAAAAAATTCTAACCTACATTCAGTAGATCTGAGCTTTTTGTGAGAATAATCAAGTGTGTATCAACATACAGACTTTTCCTCTCACCATCTGGTATTTAGTCTCTATCGATTAATATCCTTTAAGGAGGGAAAAGAATTCTTAAGTACTTATTTTCAACACTTTATTGTTTATCTTCTCTATCTTGGTTAAATAACTGTTAAATTTTCAGTTTTCCTGCCACTTTCTTTAATGAGATAGCTAAAGCAGGTGCTTATTAAACCCTAATAACGGAGAATCAGGTGGAAGAATCTTACTCAAATGCAGAGCCCCGTGCAGTGGGTCTGGGTCCCAACCTGCTTCACTGGCGGCAGCTCCCAGGGGATGTCCAACCTGCTTCACCGGCGGCAGCTCCCAGGGGATGTCCAACCTGCTTCACCGGCGGCAGCTCCCAGGGGATGTCTGCAGTGCTGGTCCTGTGACCACGTGCTGGATGGGAAGGAGGTGGGGTGGAGAGGTGCTGCTTCCAGACGTTACAGATCACATAAAATATTTAAGGACATGAGATACTTTGTCAGGTGATTTACGTGTGCTAAATCAGTACAGTAATTCTCTGAGAAAATTGGCTTGAACACTTTGAGCAAATTGCTCACAAGCATAGTGCTTAGAAATGGTGCTTTGAATTTTAATTCATCTCTTCTAAATCCATAGCTCATATTCTTTCTATCACCTACTTTAAAAGGTAGCCTAGAGAATGTTTTTATCTCCTACAACTGTAAACTTGGTGTATCATTTTGTGATTACAGACCACCTACTATGTTTTTAAAAGAATGATGGAGAAGACAGCCAAAAAAGAAAGGGGGTGGGAGGGGAGAAAGAAAGAAAACCAAAACAAGCTCGCTCTCCTTGCCAACATCTCTGTCTTTGCCAAAAGCAATTTTACCCATCAGTTCTCCTTCTCCTGATCTCCCAAGTGGAGTGACTTTGCTTCCTCTTGTGGCTTCCCCACACTGTTTGAGAGATGCTGTGTCCATGGCTCCCACCATGGGCTTCTCTAGGTTTGGGGCTGTGGTGGCAGGACCCAGCTTGCGTTCTTACCTATGGTGGCCTTTCATAAATTGCTAATGGGTGGAAGGATAGTGAACAGAAGAAACCATGGTACTGATGGTGCTGAACCTTAGAAATTACTGAAAGAGAAGACATAGTCCTCCTTCCTGGTCATGCAGCAAAAAGAGCTTTAGGTAGCAACTTTAGGGAAAAAAAAGTACATTCGCTGAATATAAAAAATAAAATCACGGATTAAAAGTAAATGTGAGTTATATAATTCCATTTGATTATTTTAGCTGAAAAATTATACTGGTGCATGGAAACATAGATTTTCAGGGATTTTGATCATGGAGTCGAGATGACTGCAGATCTCAAACATTGTTAAAAAGGGAAAGAGTATTTGATTATTGAAAAATGTGTGGATTCAAGTAATAAAACTGCATCTAATGATGATGACGATGAACGTAATGAAAGCTTGTTTATGAGTTATCTTCCAAAGTCTGGGAAAGATCTTCAAATGTGTTGTGGGGGACGACTTCTGCTAAAAATATTAACCCATGTCAGAAACAAAGTCAAAGCCAAAAGGATTTTGAATTTAAGTGTAATCTATCTTCTCCTAATTTATTTTTTAAAGTAACAAAGCTCTGGAATATTTCTGAAGGACTGCTTATAAATGACTCCACAAATTGGAACCTTGGAAATAAAAACATACGTAGTATTTCATCTGTTAAAAAACAAGAAGATTTTTTTTAATTTTATCAAGTATCAAGCAAAAGGTGATGTTTAAATATTTGTCCTTACCAGGATAGTGACCCATATTTCTACTCACCATGAGACTTTTTTCTTAACCAAGTGTTTATTAATATGTATTCCTAGCATTTATGTAAGATGAAGATTCTGAAGGCACTTTGATATTTGGGAACACGTCTATTTCAGATGTTTAGAGTCTATCACTGCTGATTTTTTTATTAATTTTACTTAGTTTTTTCCGTGTCTTTAAAGTAACTCTTGGTTTTTTGCCCAGTAAGCCTAACAAATCTGTAATAAATGTTCTGTTGGCTGCATCGCTTGTAGGTACTGTGGTCTTTGGAATCAGGTCATTGGATTTCTGAGGAGCCATTTGAATTGTCTACCCACTTCCCTGCAGCTCCTGTAAGTCCGATGTTGTTTTATGATGGTAAATAAAATTTAGTATTGTCAAGAAATTATTATAAACATAGGGATAAACTGAAGTTTTTATGAAGTCAAAAGCAAATATGCTTATAACTAAGAAGACATTCACAGGACTTAATAACTTTTATCCGTTTATTTGTGAGAATAAATGTGAGAATGTGAGAACATTCTACAAGAAGTATCAAGGAATGCTATCCTAAGAAATTTTTATTATGAAAGTCCTCAAAATGGAGGAAAAACAAAAATGAAAAACACTAGATTCTTCGGGCAGTAATATATATCTTACTTAATGCTTATATTGTTAATAGAGATAGAATTGATAGGTATAAAAATTGTGGCTTGCTAGCATTGTGATGTGGTCTTTATATTTTGATATTTTTCCCTAAACTCTGCTTCAACTTTACTGACTTCATATGTTTAATGGGAAAGTTCTAGATTCTATTTTTTAAAAGATTTCTTAATAATTAAGTAGGTAATCTAAGGTATAGTTAAAAGCAGGATTATGGCTTTCATATTCAGAAATGTTAACTGGTTTGTGACAGTTTATTCTTTCAAAAGATTAATAGATGAACTATTAATGGTCAGGTTCTTTATATCTGCGGCCGGTCTTATTATTTCATTGTTTGAATAGGCCATATGACTATAACATAAGAAGTTGAACTCTGCTCTCTTACCACTATAGTTATCTTTGTTGAGTTGGTTTTGTTTCATTTTTAAGGTTACTATTTTGGTGGGGTTTTTTTTCAACTTTGTAAATATTTTCTTAAAGAGAGAAAAAATTCTGCTCAGCAGGACTGTTGGAAATACTGTGTAAGGAAGTGAAGTATAAAGTGAAAGCATAAATTTCCCCATTCTCTGTCATAAGAAATTATATATAACTCTGAATCACTTGATGATATTTGCTCTTGAAATTCATTTTACCTGCCTACATGGGGAGTTCATGTAAATTAATTATGTTCTTGACAGTTTTATTTCATTTTATTTTATTATCATTTCCTCACTGTCATTGTGGTCACTGAGGTATCGTGGAAACTCATTGCCTGTTGATGCTGTGAAATTGCGTTATTCTTGGATGTGTTTAAACTTGATACAAAGCCATGATAACTCTGTTGAATTTATAAAGCCTTCTTAATGTAAAATAGAAACAGTTCTAAGATAAGGAGGTTCTTTATTCAGTTAAATAAGTTGTTGAAAAACTGTACCAAGATGGAAATTAAAAAAGTGCTTTGACTTCTCCCAAGTCCATAACTGGCTCAAAACATGTCGCAACATGTAAGTGTTTTAAAACTAAGTTGGGGGTTTGTGGAGGCAACGTAGGGGTAAAATAAATTAGATTTAAAATATAGAGGAAAGAAAAAATAATGGTAGAATGGTACAAGGTAAAGACAGACATGGAGTAAAAGCTGATTGCAGATTTGACTCATCTTCCTGCAGATGCCACAGAAAGGAGCATTACGAGAAAGTGCTTCTCAGTTGTAAAGCATTACACCAGTGTTCACTGATGTTAGCTGCAGTATGGAAACTTCAAAAGGAAATAAATCCGTACAAGTTTTGCAGTCCCGAGCATAAAGCCATGTTCTCACATTTTTCTGTAAATGTGCGAATATACTGTGAACATCAGATTTTGTTCTTGCACTCCAAAATGCTGCTGCTTTGCTTTTTTTAGTTTGCCAATGTATATTTTAAAAACTTACTAGTGCCAATTATTTCTTCCTTAAGTAAATTTAAGGGTGAATCTTAAGTACAGCTTTGTATATGTCTTAATCAAAGTTTTTTGTCAACCACAAATTAAATTGTAGCCTACTTCTCTAGAAATACAGCTTATTGGAAGAGAAAATAGAGCAGTATTTTATCATAGTGAGAAGATAAAGTCTCTTTGTCACAAAATTAAATGTATAATTTTCTTCATTACTAAAAATCAAACTTCCTTGCCATGAGGCATAATCAATTATTTCATAACCAAATTACAAAATTGTAAATTTTATCATAAAAGTTAAACATAGTCATCTCACCTAATAAGTTATATTTAATTACTAAAAATACTTTCATATTTAACAGCTGGGCAGAAAAAAATAGTACAATCTTTATATAAACTAAAACAGCATACATTTCTATTGATAATTTCAGAGATCCTAAAAGTTTCCCACCATATAAACTTGAAATATGTATCTGAGCATTAACTTTAAACTAAGCTGTCAACATATATGTAAATATGCTATTTCCAAGAAGAAAATTTAAAGCCCCTAAGAAGAATAAAAATGCACTGTTTTTCCAAATGTGTGTATTAAACTGCTAATAACCACTTCTCAGACTATCTCTTAATATATTTTTATGGCTTAGAGAATTTTTTCTTTTTTTTAATTGTGATAGTGATGCTGAATTCAGATCATGTGGATATTTACACAATCTATAAACAGTGCTTAGAGGAATGCAGTTCCAAAATGATCTGTACTATATAAGTGTTCTGTTTTCCAGTTATTTTCTGATAAACTCACACATAACATTCTTGGTTTTGACAGCAGAGTCTGTAAATTGTCAGCTTAATTCTGACTTTGGGTCCATCTCTGCATCAGTGTTCTGCCACAGGGCAAGACCAGATGTGTGGGGTTTTGCTTTGGTTCGTTATGTGATGCGGGTTTAAGTGACGGAGTTTGTGGGGCTCTGATCTGGAGCCCACGCCCCCATCAGCAGGTGAGAGCCTGCCCTCTGAGGTGGAAGAGGAGCACATGCAGCCGAGTCTTTCAGTGCTTTGATACAGTCTTTGTTGGGGGTACACAGGCATTAGAAATCTGCTGGTCGGATCATCATGGTTGTGGCCTTGAGCGAGTAGCCTGACCCTTTCCAGTAGTACCACTTAATGCCATTGAATTTATTTGTGTTCTGCCTTTGTGGATAGTACATTCCATTTAAGTTGGAAGGACCACATGCATCAAACCACCACCCTGTAAAAATAAAACAGAAGGAATTAGGAACTAGGTGCTGCCAGCTCTCTCACTGTGAAGGTAGAAAGGCTCAGCTAGGCTAGTAATCACTTTCCATGCGTTTACAATGGGCATATGCGTGTTCACACCATTATGGCAAATGTTTTTACAAGCTGTCTTACTCTTCTTCTCTGGTGCTGGGTGGAAAGGCCCATCGTCCCCTCTGTCCTGCTTTGGGGAGCAAGCTGCATAGGCACTTATGGCACAGATGGTAACATCTGAGTAACTGCTACGTGGCTGTTTTTCAGTCCCAGCAACATGGTGGCTGGACTCATTCAGGCTCCTCTCTCTACTAAAAAAAAAGGTTTTTTGGCTGAACTATGACTCAAAATGTTAAGTACTCAGTGGAGCTAAATAAAAAAGAAATCTCTAAGTTACAGAGACGAAAGGGAAATTGAGAGCTAGAGTGGTGTGCTCACTAAGCCAGAACCCAGGGCAGGAGGGGTGCCCAGCATGACAGGGTGCAGGAGTGCAGACCATCAGCACCTTAATCCCTGGGCTTGGCCAAAAATAGGAGTTTGCTAGGTGCCAGGGGTTTTGAGAGAAAAAAATACACTTATCTGCACTTTGAGATACCTGCAGCCAGCCATGGTCCAAAAATATTAAATGGAAAATTCCAAAAATAATTCATAAATTTTAAATTACATGAGATTCTGAGTAGCATGCTGAAATGGGAACATCATGCCCAGGACATGACTTGTCCTTTTGTCCTGCATCCCTGTGCTGTCTGTGCTGCCACTCTGAGTCACTTAGCAGCGTCTGGGTCATCAAATCAGCTGAGACAGCATTGCAATGTCTGTATTCAGTGGCCTGAATTTGACTTGATTGCCCCAAAGCGCAAGAGTAGTGATGCTGGCAACTCTGAGATGCCAAAGAGAAGATGAAAAGTGCTTTCTTAAAGTGAAAAGGTAAAAGTTCTAGACATAGTAAGTAAAAAAAACTATGCTGAGGATGCTAAGATCTACGTAAGAATGAATTTTTCTCTGTGAAATTGTAAACAGGACACTGTTATAATTATTCAATTTACTCTTACTGTGCTAATTACAAATTAAACTTTATCATAGGTGTGTATGTATATATAGGAAAAAACATAGTATCTACATATATCCAGGGTTCAATATGATTTGCAGTTTCAGGCATTCACTGGGAATCTTGGGATAGATCCTCTAATAGATACCTTGGTTTACACATAGAAATCTCAGAAACTCTGTGTCAGAGGCATGCATAAGTACAATATCACTTATGATAAATTTTAAAAGAAAGTGAATGAATCTGGACTCCAGGCTAAGCAAGTGGTGGGCGGGGCTGACATGGGTGGGGCTGACGCTGACGGGAATGGGTCTCCTCGTTCTCAGGACCTCTCTACTTTCTCTCTTGGGCTGCTCTTCTCCTTTCCAGCCTCTTTTCCAATTCCATTCTCAGCCCCTAAATCTTGATTTGAGCAAATAAAGTTATTGTTTCCTTGGTTATTAATGTAATTCTCCTGCTCTTGAGTAGCTCATGACATGCGGGAGACCTGAAAACCAGCAGCTCTCTATGGAGTGCCGTGCACAGTGGGGACCGCAGTGCGGAGCAGAGCCGCAGGAGGGTGTGCTCCCTCACATGTGGCCTTCCCCTTTTCAGCTTTAAAAAGGGTTATCATGATAGCATGAGGAAAACAGCAGCTTTTTACAAAGTCAATGTAATAGTCATCATCTTTTTTCTAGCTGAATAATATTCATGGTATACATATACCACAGTTTATTGATCCATTCATGGGTTGATGAGCACTTGGGTTGCTTCCACCTTTTGTATTTACCTGGATGGAGCTGAAACACATTCTTCTTTGTAAAGTATCACAAGAATGGAAATGCAGGTATCCAGTGTACTCAATACTAATATGAATCTAACAGAAAAACAACTACATGCCGATGCAAGAGAATAACACAAGTAGATTCAAGTGGGGGAAGGAGAGTGGAGAGGGGGATTGGGCAGTTCTCCCCTGATGGACACACTGTGAGGGTGCACAGCACACCCCCAGGATGAAGGGCTCAATTGCCTCAATTAAACTTGAATTTTATCTTAGAAACAAAAAAAGGCCGGGCACAATGGCTCACACCTGTAATCCTAACACTTTGGGAGGCTGAGGCGGGTAGTTTGCTTGAGCTCAGGAGTTCAAGACCAGCCTGAGCAAGAGTGAGACCCTATCTCTACTAAAAATGGAAAAATTAGCCAGGCATTGTGGCACATGCCTGTCGTCCCAGATACTCAGGAGGCTGAAGCAAGGGGATTGCTCAAGCACAAGAGTTCAAGGTTGCTGTGAGCTATGACATGACAGCACTCTACTCATGACAGTAGAGTGAGACTATATCTCAGAAAAAATAAAAAGGAATAAAGAAACATAATATAACCTAATCATTTGTACCTTCATATTAATCTGAATTTTTAAAAAATAAATTTTTAAGGTCAGTGTAATGCTTTCACTTGGTGACGTCATGCGGCTAATCCGGAAGACCTGTGTTACCCTATACTGTATCACCCCAGGAATCAGAAAATCGATGTTTTAAACAGGACCTAATTCTTTCAGTATTAAAGACCTGAAATTTAAAAACATAAAAATGACTAAATTTTATTTTCATGTGACTCTTTCCACTATAAATAATGGTTGTCATAGTGTAAACGTACTGTAATTTGGATGTTCTGTTTGTTTTATGTAGTACCTGGTATTTGTGAACTATATTGACCATAGTCTTACCTGTGGTTTTCCTGGTTGAGTAATGCATTAATTTTGTAAAATCTATGTTCTCTGCCAGTGTTCCTTTTTGCCTTTTCATTCATTTTATGCTACTGGGAGAATTTTGTTGCTGTTTTAACTCTGTCACGTTTTCAGACCTAACTGACATTAGTCAGACCAAGTCACTTGTCTCAGTCACTACCAGCTGGTTCCCTTTAGTCAATGTCTAAACTTCCCAGAGTTGGAAGAACAAGTTTCCCAGCCGTGGCTGCACACTCACGTTTCCAACACCAGCCTCTCCAGTGTGGTGACTGGTCAGTGACTGTGACGACAGGCCTGCAGGTGGCTGCTGCTATCAGTTCTAAACCAATCTGATACTAAAGGTAGAAGCATGAAAGGCCTTAATGTAAAGGAGGCAGTGACTCTAAAAAAGCAGGTTGGTTAGTTTCTCTGTGTTTGTTAAGTATATGCTATATGTTAATGAAATCCTTTTAAGAAAGACAACTAAAAATTCCCTGTTTGAACATTAAATTATTAATTGGAAATATTTCTATAGTAATTAATCTATATCATTATTTTTGGTTGCCATTTTAACTTTTTTTAAACGGCCAAAGGAATTAAACCACCTCCCTGACATCTAATATTCAGCAAACACAAACTTAAGAATTTGCTAAATATCAAAGTCCCTCTCCTAGCCAGTGGTAGGTCCTGAGAAGACACAGTTGGCCTGCTGACTATTCTCTGTCCAAATCATATTCTCACTCAAAACCTAACAAACCTAAAAAAGTAAAAAACAAATTGACCTATACCAATCTGCCTATTCACGCCGTTTTGGACATTGTTACCAAACACAGTTTGAAGTCCAAATCGCCAACCTTTCACTCTATGAAATTGTCCTTTGCCAATATAAATAGGAAAACAGAAAGTCGTCCCTACCTCCTGTCAGCATTTGTGAACATTTGCAAATGCACTTGTCGTTGTCGGCATCCTTTGTGCTAAAATCATTTCCTGGTTGGCTTATGCTGCTTATTTTGCCGGCTGTCCCTGTGAGTCCTTTAAGGTGAATCCTGTATGCATGCAAAGGAAAAAAAAATGTAATTGGCTGGGGTTGCCGATTACCGTAGTGGAAATTTTTTTGTAATGAAGAATTCCATTCTACAGAAGTGTGTTCTGGACTGGTTAGTGTACTAATGCATACTCTGGACAAAATATTTTGCGCTGATATAAACAGGAACCAACTTATCATCAAATCCTTTGGAAAAGAAGGATGTTTTCATGAAACCTTCAACACATATCACTTGCACAAGCATCAACAGTGACTGTAGGGCCCTGTAATTTATTTGCCTTCTGCTTTCAGATAAACAAAAGAGAGAGAAATGCAACAGGAGGGAACCACTTCCCAGGTCTGCCAGCCGCATCCCTTTTGAAACAAGAGTCCTGAGCTGACTGGACACTTTAAACCTCGTTATTTTCTCTAGGGGGTTGGGAGGGGATGACGGAGAGGGCAAGAGGTAATAAGCGAGGGGTGATCACTGAAAAGGAGGCTCATGTTGCCTCCTGTCCATGTAGTGGTGTGATGAACCTGTTAGACATTGAGAAAGGGAAGAATATCATACTAAGTTAGACACTGAATACTAGCCCACCTGTTTAGAATACAGCTGTTCTTTTACTTACAATGGGGTGATATCCTAATAAACCCATTGTTTAGTTGAGAATATTCTAAGTTGGAAGTGCATTTAATACACCTGACCTACCAAACCTCATAGATTAGCCCGGCCTATCTTAAGCTTGCTCAGAGCACTCCTATCAGCCCACAGCTGGGCAGGATTGTTGGACAACACAGTACACTGCTGTCCCTGAGGTCGAGTGGCTGGCTGGGAGCTTCAGCTTGCTGGCCCTGCTCAGCATTATGAGAAAGTATCATACCACATATGGTTAGTCTTGGAAAAGATCAAAATTTTAAATTCAAAGTATGCCTTTAGGCTCGGCGCCTATAGCTCAACTGGCTAAGGCGCCAGCCACGTACACCTAAGGTGGCGGGTTCGAATCCCCAGCCCGGACCCGCCAAAC